TATATATATATATATATATATATATATATATATATATATATATATATATATATATATATATATATATATATATATATATATATATATAACTTGAAACGCTCTCCGTGTTTAAACAATAACATATATACATACCCTTTTCTAGATATATACAAACAAATTCCAAAACATAAAACAACAAAATCCATTATATAATCCTTCCCCTCGCTTGCTCTGCAATGAAGTAGTCCAGGCCTTGGGACCCTGGATGTGGGTTTAAAAGGAAGGACTACAACACAAGAAAATCAATCCATCTCACAATTGCATGTTGTGTTCTGCGCAAATGAACGAGTTTGTTGTTTCATGTTTTGGAATTTGTTTGTATATATCTAGAAAAGGGTATGTATATATGTTATTGTTTAAACACGGACAGCGTTTCAAGTTACATTATTCCTGTGTTACAACTACAATTTATTTTGTAGCTCTTTGAACATATATATATATATATATATATATATATATATATATATATATATATATATATATATATATATATATATATATATATATATAATTTGAAACGTTCTCCGTGTTTAAACAATAACATATACATACCCTTTTCTAGATATATACAAACAAATTCCAAAACATGAAACAACAAAATCCATGGAAGGATTATATAATGGATTTTGTTGTTTCATGTTTTGGAATTTGTTTGTATATATCTAGAAAAGGGTATGTATATGTTATTGTTTAAACACGGAGAGCGTTTCAAATTACATTATTCCTGTGTTACAACTACAATTTATTTTGTAGCTCTTTGAACATATATATATATATATATATATATATATATATATATATATATATATATATATATATAGCTTAAGATTTTGGTTTACGAAACACAAACAGTGCTCAATACCATATAGATAGAGCGTAATATAGTTTTTCGTTTTACCTCAAAAAACCACAACAGTCTGTTTGAAACAGACTGTTGTGGTTTTTTGAGGTAAAACGAAAAACTATATATATATATATATATATATATATATATATATATACAGGTGCCTTTTCTTGGCGGTGCTCCTTACTTTCGAGTGCTCTCTATACTTTCGATATATATATATATATATATATATATATATATATATATATATATATATATATATATATATATATATATTATTATTATTATTACATATATATATTATGTTCCAATATACTATATACTGAATGTCATAAACATACTCGTTTATATTAATTCAGCATCGAACAATACTAGTTCTGCAAGTGTTAGGCTATATAACACTTAAATATGATGTTTGTGATGTTACTCTGAGTTACACCGGGCAAGCTGAAAAGTTTTGCCTGACCACGGTGGGAATCGGAACCCGCGACCTTTGGGATACTAGTCCAATGCTCTACCAACTAAGCTACGAGATCAAGTCGGTTCGAGTTGATAATATTTCGGAACTGAGTCTATATAGTTCCTTCGATATCAATGTATTCTAAGGTATGATACTTTTTGTGTTTGTTGATGTTATGTACTTATGTGAATATGTAGTTGTGGTGTTACTCTGAGCGTATATCCACACCGGGCAAGCTGAAAAGTTTGCCTGACCACGGTGGGAATCGAACCCGTGACCTTTGGGATACATCGATATCGAAGGAACTAGACTCAGTTCCGAAATATAGCATCAACTCGAACCGACTTGATCTCGTAGCTCAGTTGGTACAGCAATAGGACTAGTATCCCAAAGATCGCAGGTTCGATTCCCACCTTGGTCAGGCAAACTTTTCAGCTTGCTCGGTGTCGATGCATACTCGAGTAACACCACAAACATCATACCAAATAAGTCAAAACACTTGGGATTCTGGGGGTGGGACTAACTCACGCGGGCGTTCGTTGCGGGTTAGTATTGGGGTATTAGAGATTACGAAACCGGATGTCAATTAATTAAGTTTATTGATATCACCCGCAACGAACGCCCATGCATGAGTTACGCAATTTAGACAAACCCTCCTTCTGCATGCTGTAGCTACAATCTCAGTTGGACATAACTGGTCGAAACTGTTTTTCCCCCATATAAAATTCGCATATTTTTATGACAAACTCCATGTTGAGTCATGTTGCCTTTCTTAAGCCCCCACTCCCCCAACTCAATGTTGAGCTTGTGTCATGGTATATTACCAAAAGTTGTTTCGGCATTGTTTACAACATTGAACTGAGGGGAGGGGGAGACAAAGTTTGTTTTGTCAATGTTCAATAACTTTGTAATATTGGCTGGAATGGTATCAAGCGTTTTGTCCACGATTGTAGCTCATTAAAATCCAATACGTCATGTGTTCAAGTATGTGGGTTGTCTGTGGGATATGTTTTAGCTCATTGTGACTCGGTAGGCAGTTTATGGGTTGTTTGTGATCAGTTTTTTTTTCAATTAAGGATCACTTTGGCTCGTTATTTCGTCCCTGAGACGTTTGGTTGGTTGGTTGATTGTTACGCAAGGATATATTATAGTGCGTGATATATTTATACAGTGTGATATAACATTTTGATATCACTGATAAACATATCATTTGTGGTAACTTAGTATAAGAGTACGATAATAACTTCATGCAGAGAAGGATCCCATGCCCTACAGCCCCGTACAGACGAGCTAGTTTTCTTTGTCAACTTTTATTTATTCGTGTGTACCCTTTTTTCGCTGTGTATGCTTTGTTCAAACGCTGGTCATGCCAGGAAAATCTTGACAAGTAAGTAGTACGTCAATAACGTCACTGCATGTGCACTCAACTTTGAGCGGCCATTGCCATTAAATCTCATTTATTTTGAACTCCACTCTGAAGTTTTTTAATTTTGTTGGAAGCAATTTTGGACGAACATTATCATGAAAATGTTTACCTACTTTAAAAATACCTCATAAAACTTGTCAAGGAAAAATTGAATTGATTGAAAAAATTCGTACACGAGCAAGTAAATCCGTCAAGGAGAACTTCAAGTGTTCGTCTGTACGGGGCTAAACTTTTCCATAAAAAAATAATTCTATATTCGTTGCTTTTGAATATCATTCCTTTCATTTCTACATATAATTTACACATTGACATATAGATTATAGAATCTTCTCGCGTTCAGAATGTAGTTTTGTATTCATGTTGGAATCGGCAACATGCATATGATTTCATAACTGGGAGAAAGGAAATTAGTAGCTGTCATTCCAGAAATTGCCAGTATGTAGATTATACATTTTTCTATATTCTCGACAAGTCTCGATTATTCGTCGCAAAGCCAAAGGTGCGGCCGAACATGCTTGTATAAAGATGCGGTTGAACTCTCTTATCTGCCGGATGAGGATTGTTAGCTACAAAGCAAGTTGCTGACAGAGTGCGAAGTGTTGTGATTTCTCGAAGATATATACAATATACAAAAAAATAACTTTCATATATTTACTTACATTTGCAATTCCAATCAATTTTATGCTAATGATAATGTTGCAACAACACGTTACCCGCACTAGGTAAACGTTGTTGTTAAAATTTTATCAAAATAATGTGGTCAGGTTTTCTATAACAGTGTTCAGTACCGATGCGGTAAATCTTATCAGTCGACTGAACACACAAGCCCAAAGTGATAAATTAAATTCAGAGACAAATTGAGGTGCGATAATAATAAAAACAGAAAGCGCGTGTCTTGTGATTTTACGCTTTAACAGTTGGCTTTGTTGACGATAATATTCGGTGGTTCCACCTGCTCGTGGATTTACAAAATCCAACGTGCAATGTTAGCTCAAAAGCAAGCTGATAAAACCGCAGGGAAGGAAGGAAAGCAAGATGTCGAATACTACGGCTGAAGAAGCGAAGGAGATTAGTATTACTTCATTTACCTCTGCTTTTATTTTGAACTTGGTCATTGGACTTATAGGATTCATTGCATTTTCGTTGATTCGTCGTCGTTTCAAATATGTCTACTTGTCTAACTTTATTATTCAGACGACAAAACTGCTTTCAGAGTTGTCTGAGACACAAGTACAAATTTGGAATCGGTTAAAACTGTCAAATTCTATTTTCTCATGGCTGACACCTTGCTTCAAACTAAGTGATGAAGAAGTTTTTGATCTCGTTGGCTTGGATATATTTGTTTATCTCAGATTTGTTCGCTTATGTTTAAAATTTTTTGTCGTAATTTTACCGTACGGTTTATTGGTTCTCCTACCGCTTAATATCTATGGAACTGCCAATCTTAAAGGAATGTCAAGTCTTTCTATGGGAAATATAGAATTGAAATCTGATATATACTGGGCACATCTAGTTGGTGTATGGGCTTATTCTATTATTATCTTCTTTATGATGTATCGAGAGTGGCAAACATTCACACACTACCGTCAGTTATACCTGAGGAAAGGTTATGAAGAACAATATAGTATTCTGGTGACTGATTTACCAGCATATGTAAGTAACACATTCAGCAAACGATTAACGAATATATCTGGGGTCCGCCCCCCCATCCCTGGAAATTACTAGGCTTCCCTTGGAAAAATTCTGACCAGTACAAGCATGTGAATAATATTTTCATTTCTTAATTGTAAAGAAAATTGTATATCTTCCAATGTTTTAAATGCAGTTCTGGATTCGTTTGTGATTCGTTTTTTTAAATGTTCTGGATTCGTTTGTAGAGTTGTTATGTATTATATGCCTGGTTATTTAAAATCACTAAAACATATTAAAAGAGCCCCCCAACAGAAAATGGCACTGTATACCGACTCTTGAATTTAAAGTAACGCAGGTAAAATTGCTTGGGCCCCTCCTAGGATTTTCTCGGCTCCCCTTGACTAGAAATTCTGACTACGTCATTGATAACTGAATTGTATATAGAGCTAACATATCGCGAAAAGTATCCGAATGATCACAATTTTAACGCCGTGGCATACTATGCAACGTTCCTCTCAATGTTCCTCACTGTAAGAAGAAAATCACGTAAAGCTGCAATCAGGGCGCTGCAATGTACCATACTACCATGCAAGCGTCGAACATGGCAGCATTTTTTATGCAGGAGCGCGTATAATAAAAGGTTTCTGCAGGAACTCTGCAAGATTCGACGATTGCATGGAAAGGTATTTTACACCTTGCAATTTAAATTAATTGTCTCGCAGTGATAATGCGAGACAAAGTATATGCAACACATCCATGTAGATGCAAGAGTTGCAAGTGAAGAAATCTTGGTTTGAAATTAAGTTTATCAATTTGAGTGATTGCTTTGCTATTCACAAAATTGCATGGGAATTCTTCACAAACAGTAATCATGTTGAAAAGTACAGTTACCGCGTTACCGCATAAAAACACGCGGTCAAGGATCAGATAAACGTTTAAATGAACTGATTAATTGAAAAAAACGCCAGATATTAACCAATTTACATACTGATCCGATTGTCACATACGCGGCTGCTATGTTTGTTTCTCTTGTTCGGTTGTTCCTAATTATAAACTGCTCAATCCTTACTCATTTCAACATAGCCATAGCTTTTTGAAAGTTTGCGAATAAGTTCTAACATAGCTATCCTTTCTCATTCGAACATAGCCATAGGTCATCACATACATACATGCATCTATACAGTATCGTATGATGGCAGGTAATTGCCAATGTATATATTTATTTATGAGGCCCTATTTGAGGCCCTATAAGGGTAAATTCCGACGGGCGACATTGCGGTGAAATGATCACAAGTAGCCTAAGACATACGTCATGAAAATAAAACAGCTACATACGTCATGAACTCTGTCTAAATTGTGACAGCAACATGAAGAAGGTAGAAAACAATATAGTCTAGGACTTGTATATGAGTTTGTATGCGTTTATTTAGCACAGGTAATCTCAACTGTTTTAGGGTAAAATGACCATGGCGGTCAACATGGCATATGTGCCAAAACCTGAATCCGGGACGAAAGTCCTGAAAATGACCCCGCCCTGAAACGGCAGTGTCGACATAGCTCTAACTTCCGAAAACAAAAAGCGATAGTCTTTCCGAAGTGCTTATAGTGTTTGAGAAGGGTTGCTTTTAAGGGTGGTCATTGGAAGGAAAAATTTGTCTAAGTATAATATTTTACAAGAAAATGACCATGCATCACCTCAGGTAATTATAAATTGCTAATTATGCATAAAATAACTAATATGCCTGGCAGAAATTAAATATTCTTATTTCCTAAAAAATTTATCATGGGGGTTTTTGAAGAAAAACTATGCTTAATTTAATATAATTATTGTGGATTTCATAAGGATTGTCATTGTTTTATTTAAATATAATACATTTTATTTCACTTACCCCCCACGAAAACACGATTTCAGCCATATTTTGCCGTCTTGTTTGCTTTTTATCGCCGAATCTGGCAAATATCATCCAGTTGTTGTACTTTTACATAATCATAAATGGCTGAAGAAGATTTCAAAGAAGGTTTCATCAAGTTTTGAAACAGTGCAGTGTATTTTATCTTCGATATTGTGTCCTTCGATATTTCGTCAAATTGCCGCCATTTTAATGGCTCGCCGCTTCTCTGCCCGATAAATGCCACTTCTTCGTTTTCATATGTATTTAGATTACATTATCCAAGAGTACTTCATTGTAGAATAGTCCCAATCCAAAAATTGGAAATATTATTTGTATTTGGGAGGAAAAAACCTCCCATAATAGTTGTCCTGTCAGAATTCAAAAGAAGTAATTTAAAAGTCACGCGCAAGTTCGCGAAAACACCTCGTGGGTTACATAACAGGGGGTGAATATTTTCACGAAACGTTTGTTCGCCACCACAGCAACCTAACTAAGTACATTATATTTGTTGTATTTTTGTGATTTATAATAAAAACAATAAATATTTGTGTATTTTATCATCAATTATAAAAATACAAAAAATATAATACATTTAGTTAGGTTACTGTGGTGGCAAACAAACGTTGCGTGAAAATATTCGCCCCCTGTCAAGTAGCACACGAGGTGTTTTCGCGAACTTGCGCGTGACTTTTAAATTAGTAAATTACTTCTTTTGAATTCTGACAGGACAACTATTATGGGGCGTTGTGAAAACCCGGAATGCCGGAATATCACGGAATATGCCGGAATATTACGGAATATGGCGGAATATCACGACACTTTCCCGGAATAATGGAATATCACAATATTTTCCGATGGTAGCTATGCGACTGTTTATAAACATGGACGTCTGACAACATATTTTATTCCAAAAGTGATGGATCTTTCCCATTTTAACGGTAAGTAACAAACAATAATTCTATACTGGAAGTTTTATATGTTGTTTTATATATCATTATTACGAGTGTTCACCAAAAATTTTGAATCAATATGATTAATTTCTCTTGAGTTACAGCGGCTTGAAAAACAAAAGTGCTGACGTCAGCATTATTTTCGAACTGTGTTAATTTAATATCATAGAAATAATAGACAGAACTTAATATTTCAAATTCTATCCCAAACTACAAATACAAAAGTTTTAATGATGAAAAGTTTATAGTTTTAGCTTTGTTTATGGCTTGTAGTTTGCACTCCTGCTCAAATTCAACATGGAGGATTTATAAGGGCATTTTTTTTTTCAATTTGGACACCGGTCACGTGACCAAGCACGCATTCTTGGTCTAATATTTCTATGGTTAATATACACAAAATTTAGTTAAAATTGACCATTTTATACCACCAAGCATTTACCCAAATATCAATTTCTAAAATAAAGGCAAGTTTGAGCCAGTTGTTTATATCATGTTTATAATTTTTAACTAAATTGTGTATATAACACAGTTCTGAAGGCGTTCGAAAATAATGCTGACGTCGGCACTTTTATTTTTCAAGACGCTGTAACTACTCAGGAGGAATTAATCACATTGATTCAAAATTTTTGGTGAACAATCGTAATGATATAAACAACATATAAAATTTCCAGTATAGAGTTATTATTTGTTACTTACCGTCAAAATGGGAAAGATCCATCACTTTTGTAACAAAATATGTTGTCAAACGTCCATGTTTATAAACAGTCGCATAGCTACCATCGGAAAATATTGTGATATTCCGGGAAAGTGTCGTGATATTCCGTGATATTCCGCCATATTCCGTAATATTCCGGCATATTCCGTGATATTCCGCCATATTCCGTGATATTCCGGCATTCCGGGTTTTCACAACGCCCACTATTATGGGAGGTTTTTTCCTCCCAAGTGCAAATAATGTTTTCAATTTTTGGATTGGGACTATTCTACAATGAAGTATACTCTTGGATAATGTAATCTAAATACATATGAAGACGAAGAAGTGGTATTTATTGGGCAAAGAAGCGGCGATCCATTGCAATGGCGCCATATTTCACGAAATATCTAAGGATATTGAAGATAAAATACACTGCACTGTTTCAAAACTTGATGAAACTTTCTTTGAAATCTTCTTCAGCCATTTATGATTATGTACTAGGAGTATTCATAGGTTAAAAGTGCGACCAATGTATATTGCATCACACTCCATAACGATATAAAAATTCTCCTTTTCTTGATGCGGTGTCACAACAAGTATAATAAGTATATACACTGATATATACAACGCGTTGTCCAAGTATAAACAATACAATTCTATTATGTTCTACTTTATTTTTTTGATGCAAAAATATAATTTTGAATATCAACAAGGTCAGGCCGAAATATAGATTACAAGAAAGGGTCATAAATAACAAATAACAACTAAAATCTGAACAGCTAGTGCAACTGTATATAAACTCGGCAAACGGTCATAGATATAAACAAATAAATAACTCAATGCAACTGCTAGTGCAAATCGAACTGCTAAATAAATTTTCAAAACTACACTAGCTAGACAACAATTTTCGACATTTATTTGTTTTTTTGAGGTTTTTTTTTGCACATTTGCCGATGTTTTTTTGCACAACTGATTTGCACATGAAATTAATAAACAACTATTAAATCGAACTGCGCTATACAAGTTTTCAAAACTACACTAGCGATCACTAGCTAGATAATGGATGCAAAAAGTTTAGTGCATGAACAAATATATATATATATATATATATATATATATATATTGTAAATGAGTTAAAATTTAAAAAACTATCAGTTTTTAATACCTGAAAGTTTAAAAGCTGGCTTTTCCTCTTTAATAATCACAAAACTGAACAAAGAATGCAAAGAATGCACGAAACAGCGCAATCAGCACGATTGCACATTTGCACGAACTACGAAGGCAAAATTTTCCATGTGGCACGCCATATATGGTCACGAGTTCCATATACGGATAAAATGAGCCCGCAAAGGGTGTTGAATACACATTCCAGCGGAAAAAGGTGTTGAACCAGTGAACTCTACTAAGACTTAGAGTCTTATTAGAGTTCACTGTGTTGAACACAATTTTTTCTCCCATATCTGAGATTAGGATGCTCCCAGCTCGCTCGCTGGTGCTCGCTCGCTGGTCGCAAAAAGTACAATAAAATGTATTATATTTAATGAAAATAATGACAATCCTTATAAAATCCACAATAATTATATGCCAGGCATATTAGTTATTTTATGCATAATTAGCAATTTACCTGGGGTGGTGCATGGTCATTTTCTTGTAAAATATTATACTTAGACAAATTTTTCCTTCCAATGACCACCCCTAAAAGCAACCCTTCTAAACACTATATAAGCACTTCAGAAAGACTATCGCTTTTTGTTTTCGGAAGTTAGAGCTATGTCGACACTGCCGTTTCAGGGCGGGTCATTTTCAGGACTTTTCGTCCCGGATTCAGGTTTTGGCACATATGGTCATTTTACCCTAAAACAGTTGAGATTACCTGTGCTAAATGAAACGCATACAAACTCATACACAGGTCCTAGACTAATAAGGAAATTCCAAAAGGGACATAGCCTGCGAACAGGCTCTCAAGCTGAACTGAGAGCCTGCATCGATGACTAATGAATTTGAATATCTGCCCCGTAACGTTCGTTTTTCCAAATATGGAATGTCTATCCTTATATGGTGTTGTTTACAACTTTCGTGCAAACTAAATTTAGACCGTGCAAACTAAATTTAGATCGTACAGTTTATACTGTTTTTCGAAATATAAGATATTCAAGCAAAAGTTTAAATGTTTTAAATACTGTTTTCTCAAAACAGAACATTTCGTGCTTTGAGGTATTAAAGATGGCCAAGACCAATTTGATCAGTTAATATGTTTTTTATGCATAGTGCTTCAGTTGACATATATAGAGCTCAGCGGAAACATATAAATTATAGCATCTGACCAATGAGAATTTCGCGTCACGATTTGAGACGCAGATATTCAAATTCATTAGTCATCGATGCAGGCTCTCAATTCAGCTTGAGAGCCTGTTCGCAGGCTAAAAGGGACATGACAACGTTCACAAGTGGCGATATTGCATGTTTTGAAAAACAGACGAGCCATATGCATAGCCAACCTGATAAGGCCCGATATATAGATTGGTTTAGCTACAAGCATGTCGGTGGTCGACATAAGTCGGATTGACTCGTTATCTAGTATATAACTGTGCGGTAGATGATATATTTATAACATTGTCTCAAGTACCCAAGTACCACAATAGCTGATATGTGTGCATGGAGTTGTTGTTAATGCGTTTTTGCAGTGGAGCTTCTAAATATTGTCCCATTAAGAAATGTCACATGAAAATTGCATTTCAAAAATGTTACATGAAAATTACAGAAATTTTATACATAACAACAATTTTGACACTTCATTTTAGCTTCGAAATGACCATAACCTTGATGAGTTTTTGAAAAGTGTTTTTCCAGAAAAGGTAAGTGCTATGAATATACGTAAGTGAAAATTTTATTTGTACTACCAGCAGGTGAAATTGTATCTAGGGACGTCGCGAAGACATCAACATTGGGGGGCTGTCGTCTTGTTTTGACCAACTTTTCCAATACAATTTTGACCAAATCCTAAAAAATCCAAAAAAAATTTTGTTGACAGGGGGGGAGGTTGCTCAAAAACATTTTTCCGGACCAACTAAGTAAAGCTGGAATTTTTTTCCGGACTAACATTAACAAAGCTGGAAAATTTTTTCCGGACGAACATAACCAAATATTATAAATTGTTTACTAACGATTTCATAACTTCCAAATTTTACTAACTTTGTTCTCAAACTCTGACAAACTTTTGCCATGTAATTGTTTGACCTGCAACTTTGACCAAGTTTAACAAAATATTTTCCATTTTGACCAACTATTTGAATTATTGGGGGGGGGGGTGCTACCACCCCCCTGTAGCGACGTCCCTGTGTATCCTGTATGATATTTTCTGTGTGGGTGTTGTGTACTCAGGTGAATATGATTGTTTGTGATGTTACTCTGAGTGTATATCCACACCGGGCAAGCTTGAAAAATATGCCTGTCCACGCGGTGATTACTAGATTGAAAGATTGAAAATATGCCTGTCAATCATGATTACTAGATTGCATTGATATTGAAGGAACTAGACTCCGAAATATCACATACTCAAACCGACCTGACCGCGTAGCTCAGTTGGCAGAGCATTGGGCTAGTATTCCAAAGGTTGTAGGTTCGATTCCCACCGTGGTCAGGCATATTTTTCAAGCTTGCCCGGTGTGGATATACACTCAGAGTAACATCACAATCAATCAATTTCTAACCTGGGACTCCAAACAGTTTAACCGTAAATAATATACACTATGAAAGATTGAAACTTTTCGACGTTCATGTTGAGCGAAAAGCGGAAGACGTATTCTCTACTATACCTTTGAACGTACATTTCGAATTCTTTCCTGGATGACGAAGTTCGTGCTTGAAACGTCGAATTTCCAGGTAGATCATAGGTGGTCAAGTCAAAGATAGTAAGAGTAAAAACATGAATAATGAATCATTTACATTGTGTCTAGGTTATTTCAGTTCACGTATTTAAAGCTGTGCCAAGTTGGACTGATTTAAGTGAAGCTCACGATGATATGGTTCGGAAATATGAACATGCTGAGGTAAACTGCTAGTGTAATGATTGCCAGGCCATATTTCATAAATTAATTTTTTAATGACACAATTATTATTTGAACTCTGATCATTATTTTATTTCTTATAGGCTTTGTTTCAGCAAAACGGAAAAAGACCATGTCACAAAAAGTTCATTATCATTGGCACCAAATATGATTCAATTACATTTTACGAAGACAGATTAAAGGTAAAACGTACGATAACACTGTAAGTTATACTCAATGCAAATAGATATGGTGGATATATGCGCCATGTACACACGTAAAAACACACAAGTTGTTACAGAGCTGCAAACAAGTTGTTCCAAATCTGTTCACAAGCTGTCGACAACTTGTGTTCGCACTGCTTGTTCCCAGTTGTTGTAACAAGTTTGGAATATACAGTTATGATATAGCAAGAATGTCACAAGGTTGACAATACAAGGTTGTAACAATATTGTTATATCATGACTGACTTGTTAGAACAATCTTGCAACAAATCTGATAATGCCATCAAGCTTGTTACAAGTTGTTAAGAGTTTGTTCCAAACTTGTTGACAACTTTGAACAGACAGTGCGAACACAACTTGTTGACAGCTTGTCGGCAGACTTGCTACAAGATTTGAGATTTTTACGTGTGTAGAGGAACGTTACCAATATTATTACTATTCTACGCCAATATACTATTCTCGTAAACTGTCATCATGTATGGTACCAAAACCTAAACTGCATATGAGAGGGTTTTATTTTTATTTCGATAAATTTCTTTTTTCTTGATGGGGAAAATATACACGCTGAAAAGAAATTAATTTCATTAAACTAATTCAGATCATTCATGTTCCACCGAGAAAGCGGACACAAACCGCTGGTCCCAATAACATTATTTTTACAACCCCCTATTAAGCAGGCACTTATTATAAATAATAGCATGGCATTCAGGGCGATTATATAGTGATTAAATGTACCCGAAAGGCGAGAGAGGTTTAGTAAAAGTCCCCAGGCGCGTCGCGCCGAGGGTCTTTTACTAAACCTCTCGAGGCTTGAGGGACATTTCATCACTAATCGACCGTAATGCCATGCTATTACGTTGTAATACCATAGTTGCCGAGTGAATCCGCGCGTGGTGTGTTGCCGTTTTGAATGCTGTTTGATTGTCTCATGATTGTGGTACGAACACTTTTCATATATACGCACGCGCAGAAACATATCTCCGTGTCCATTGGCGTTTTAGGCATGCGCATAAACATAATTTTCTCCCACAATTGTAATGTTCAAGATTAGTGTGATTGTTCGAATGTGTACGG